AAAATATATTCAATTATTAAGTATCCTATTCACGCCGTTCAATGTTTCTTATACTTATGAACTAAATATATAAATATTAAAAAAGTATTGCTAAAACCTAAGCCTATGAACATAAAATAGTATGTTTTAAGTCCCGAAYCTATGGAAAAAATGTAAAATAAAATGGGAACAAGATATTGATTAAATATTTAATATTGAAAGCCCGTGTTTTATAGTTTTTTTAAAAMTTTATTCATTTTTTACAATTGTCGGAAGTTCAAATGTCAAGAAAATATTAACATCGRGACAAAATAATAACAACTTTGAACACTTGTAACACAGTTAAGCTAAAATAATATGCGAGATATTTATCGAAATAAATTATTTGTAAAGCAATCGTTCATACTTAAAATTACTAGGCAATACTCWGATTACTATAATACGATTATAGGTACCTTTACGATATAAACGAGATGGATAGAATCGCGTGAGTCACACGTATAAATATATAGTCTTGAAACACAAATGGTGCAATACAATATTATATAGCGAGTCATATTATTATTACAACGATAAAACGGAAATAGATTGATATTTTTTTTTATATATAATTTTATATATTATATATTTTTCGTATCAATTCGCTCGTTAGCGTTTCCGTTATATTATTATTAATAGTATCATAAACTAGCCGATATGCGCACAAATTATACAAATAAAGAGTCATCGATCGACAATCACACGCTGTACATGTATAATCAACTAGCGCGCAATACACCTGCTGGTAGCACCGTTAAAGTGATGGTTATTATTTTCTTCGAGATGGTAAAATTGCGCTTAATAGCAAAATATAACTGCTGATGATAATTATTGACATAGAATCCGAGTTTATCGCTTGTCGAAGCGRGAGGGATCATGTAGTGGTTAGATTTGAGGTGTTTGAGGCGTTTTAGCCCACCTCCATCCGTACAATTTTGAATGTTTTTTTTTTTATAGTCTAATTAGATAATTTAGAAAGAATGATTATATTATCTAAGGTTATTTTGTGTCTTGCGGTTAATATTTTGAAGGTACAATATTTTACTATCCATTCTGTAGAAAAATTTCTTCTAAAAAACCGTGGCTTTTTTTATAGGGGCGGCATTAGATTTTTACATAACCCATCTTCTGTTAATGAAAAATAATATAAATTAGTTTTTTTTTTATCAATATTAAACATCGAATCAGATATTACAAAAGGTTTAGACTATGATGATATAATCAATAAGTTTAGTTCCTTTAAAGCTCGAAAAAAAAAAATGTGAATTTTAAATATTTATTGTTTTGTAATTATAGTTGATAATAACTAAACCTATTTTATATTAAATATGTAAATGTGACTAATTTATAAAGATAACATAATGTTTAAAATTTTAAATCTGCTTTTTTTCTTCTAACTTCTGTTCTAAAAAGGATAACGATAACGGGTTGTCACCGGAAAGTAAGCTCAAATGCGCTCGGTAGGTTGAAAAAGTCAAAAAAAAATTTTTGGTGGGGGGGAGGGCGGAAAAACATTGGCACCCGGGCGCCAAATTTCTGAATACGTCTCTGAGTCTGCCTATTATAAACTTATTGTAAAGGGTCCAATTAAAACGATTTAAGAACACGACAGTATTCACCACTGAACCTAGTTATTAGGTGTGACAATCGTGGTCTATCTATATACTTACTACTGCATATACTTTACGAACATGTGCGTTTGGCAGATGATACCGCAGATCTTCCAGTGGACCGTTAAATACACTGCGGTTAATAGACCCATTATCACCTATTATACGGCTGTAATATTGTATACAGTTATTGCTTATATTATTTTATTACGTTTTTGGCCGTGTTCACAGCACGAGCGGGAACGGCTGGACACATTCGTGAGAATGAGGAAAACGCATAACGCGAAGCTGTCGGTTGGATGGCGGGGAAAGAGGGAAGAGCGAAAAAAATCGCTGGACACGAAATACGTCGAAAAGGTCGCCGAACCGGCGGCGGTGGATGGCCGCTCGTGGACGCACACGAGGCAGTATAATATTAGGTATTATATACCTAGATATACACACACACGTATGTATAATACATCTTATACATATAGAAGAGTAATTTATACCCGCACGATGATGTAACGCGACGATGCTAATTACCCGGCTATATATGTATCCGTGTGTGTTTAAAACAATGCGCACTTATCTCTCTCTAAGAACTGTACACAGGTGTATATACGCTCCAGTACACATAGGTAATATGTATGTAATACGTGTGTGTGTGTGTGTAGTGTGTACCATATGCACGCACACGCGTTCGGTGGGTATCGCAGTCACTGGGATGGTTATCCTACAGGTCGTATGCACACACACACATATTAAAATAATATAGAAACTTGTTAAAAAAAATAAAAATAAATGTTAGTACATACAACTGCTCACATTATTACAATACGTAGGGTGCAATGAAAAAAATATAAACAAATAAATACCGGTCCATTGTGAGMCGAGCGTGTGGTTTTCTTCATTTATTTATTTATTATTATTTTTTTTGCTAAGCGTTCTCAGTACCTATTATTTTCTCATACTATAGGGTAATTATATATTATGCATAAGTAATTCGATTGATGAGTACGTGACCTTTGGCCTTTGCGTTCCGCGCCACATGACTTATTTTGTATTAATAATTGGATACGATTAATATTATTAATGATCTCATGATCAAAAAACAAAAAATTTCTAATATTTCATTGAAATGTTGAACGGGTTCCTGTTAATTTAACAATTTCGTAATTAAATATTATTTAAATTTGTTGAGTTATTTGGGTGAACAGTGATTTTCACGCTTTATCATTTCGATAATTTGATGTGTGAAAACTTACCATACACTGTTAATATCAATAATAATTAACACGAGCATAAACGAAAATAATTTATTTATACTGAAATGGATTGGCTCAAAATTGAATAGGTCCTATTATTATAAGCCACTAGTTTACTATGTAATATGATGTATTTTCGTTTGATTTCCACATATTATAGCTTAAAAAAATAATATTCAAAACAGATAAAACAACAATATGACACGTCGAATAATTAATTTAGTTTGACATATTGTGTTTCACCAATTAATAATTGTATGTRCTTTACAATCAAAACTGTATAGTAGTGTAAGTGTAGTGTAAAGCTTATAGTACCTATACATTAGAGGTTATATCAATTATACCTATACCGATTCTTGTTTGCGCCATTTGTTATTTTAGTAATGATTTACAATGGTAGGAGATAAAAAATCCTAAACGTAAAAACTAATTAAATATTATATTTCGTCTGATTTAGTTGTTACAATGTGAACAAACAAATGGTTCAAACAAATTGAATCTCTATACACAACTGGTGCTCGTTTCATTCTCAGTTTAATTTTTCCATAAACGTAAAGTCAGGATTTTTTCACCTCGCATATACCTATATATATATATATATATAATATAATTTATTGTATAAGTTATATATTATAGTATACGAGTGGACAGAAATATAACGTTTCCCACGTCACGTTTGGCTATATAATTATTTTAGAAAACATTCAATGAATATTGATGTTTGACAGTAATTGTTTAAAGAAAAAAAAATTACCAAACCAAAAACGACGAAACGACTCTATGGCTTTGACTAAACCAATAATGGAATGAGACGACAATATTAATATGACTAAGGTATTTCATATTTAAAAAAGGGGTGCAAGTTTCTTTAACTGTGTACATAAAAATAGTATAAATTCCGTAAAACCAATAAAACAGACTAGATCGTAAAACACTCACAACATGGAAGTAAAACCAAATCCTTCTTAAGAATTTTTTTCCAGTGTTAATAATATCGTGTTKAACAGTTAAAAATTAAAATAAATAWACAYCGATAAAAATGAATTCATAATATACTTGATTGATATTTAAAAAACTGTAAAAGTAAAAGATATGAAAGCGAAAACAAATGTTTAGATCTTTTTTAATATGCAACGATTTTCGAAAATTGTCTTTAAAGGAATACCGTGGATAATGGTATAGAGTTTAGTGTACATCATATATGGCTATATGATATACAAGRAGAGGTATATAAATGATAATAATGATTCGTATATCGAGTGCAATGTTCGAGTTTGTGAAACACTGCAGTAGTGGCTTAAACTTTTTTCCTATATAGTTCACATTTTATTTTATTTTTACATTAACCCCGTCCTAAATWTTTTTTTACTGYCCTTCAAACAGTGAATTAATTGGTTTTTAGTGGTTATTTAATAATGGTTAAATTACYTTTAAAAATTGTTCAAACTACCTCTTTCRGCCGAATATCTAGGACACTCACAAACTAAATTTTTGTTAATCACGTGATTCAAATATATACTTTGCCATAGTGACCCGYGRAAGGCACGTTATTGAAATAAAAAAACCYACGTATATATTCGGTTCAGCRATGTGGTGACTTTGACGATGGTCATCGTGAACGAAATAAATCACATTTTTCGAAACGACTGACCATTTATTATAAATTATTATAATACATTTCAAAAAGAAAAGAGAACCCTCGAACAAAAATGGAGACCCCGTGTAGAGCGAAGTATAGCGCCCCTGAGGTCTACCGCCCACGCAGAATACCACAGCGGCGCGTGTAAAGCGATGGTTTTCTTCATTTTTTTTTTCCACCCGACTATTATATTATGATATGAGTAGGTATTTGTATGTCATGAGGGTTTGGCCGGAATGAACAATAGGCGAGACAATCATCATCACACTGTAGGGCTGTGCCGAGCGGCGTCAGTTTGGGGCATTGCGCTTACACCACACACATCCAAACACAAAAATATACATATTTTACAAACTCCAAGGAATACTTACGCACGTACACACACACACATAMACACGCCCAAACACTCAACTGACTTAAGTTCACACGGGGTGGAGGAGGGGGTAACGTCCACACACGCACGCGGGCGTGYGTCTTCAAGCGCAGTTAACCGTCGCACACTATCGTATAAACACACAAGCGCACACTTCTTCTCGACCACACCACTCACGGACGACGACCGTGTATATAGTATTATATTTTATTGTATAACACGCGGCTGCAGTGTTCGTCTGCTCGYATAAGYGCGTAATACTGTCGTACGYACTCCCAGAGGAAGTAAACATTATTATTATATAATATTTTCGACCAAAAGAAGACAAAAATAATATAATATAGTAACTGTTCCAAAGACAGACACACACAGCTATACTGCAAAATCGTCATGATCGCCACTGGTACAACGCGGGTCGCTTTGACCGTGGTCACAGTATTCGCATGGTTTGCGGCAGGTCAGTATATTATCTTATATTATTATAATTGTAGTTATAATGTAATAATATTAAATGTTATCGCATATTCTGGTACTCGATGTTTATTGATAAGTTAATTTTATTGTTGCGCTTTTTGCGCAACCCCCAAATGACAGTTCCGGAGCTACTCTGTAGTTATATTTTTGTCACACAATACTATCGGGTGATATAGCAGTATCGTGACCTGTGGGTACAAACTTCATAGATCAATTATAGGTATTTATAAACCTATCATTTTTTAGTATACATTTGGTCCGAGTAGTCTCACGCTAAAGAGGTACRATTTTTTACTGGTGAAAGACATTTTTATTTTTTATCTAAAAAATAATATTTACAATCTTTGCTACAAGGCATAATAAGCAAATTTGAACACATTCGTCATACATAAAAAAATTTTACAACCTGAACACATGAGGAGAGAGGCTATCTAGTGATAGAGTCCAACGTGATTTTATTTATTTATTAATCATTATTTTAACATAAATCAAATTAAAATTAAGTGGTTTGAACCATGAATCATTTAATAAATCACAACACCATTATCTATTTATATATATGGCGTGGGGGATTACAAGGAAGTGAGYTGGAAGCAAGTTCAGCGATTAAAAGGTWAAAGTAATTTAGAGTGAAATTTGTTATAATGTTTTGTAGCTAATTAATTTACTGTTTCTATTTTGAAGTCATTTCGACAGAAATTTTACCACACAATATAATTTTCAGCATTATATCAATATGTATGAAGGAATAGGAGTTTATGTAAATCATAAATAATATTATATTAGTCTTAAATATTAAGTAAGCAAATTCTAAATCTCGTATAAATACAAATTGGTTCGAATCCAACCAAGCAATCCTAATCATGGGATTATAATAAATTACTGTTAGACTATAACCATGTACTCATCCATTTTGATTACATAGGGGAAGCTTTGGATAAACATCCTTTTTCTAAATAACAAATATTTAATTGATAAATCTCTTAATTTTTCCTATATTATTATTGTATTACTTATCATTTTTAAATTTATATTTGTGCTGAAGACTTTAATAGTGGGTATTTTTTTAATTATCCGTCGATTAAATTCAAAGTTTAATAACGTTTTTTTATTATTTAAAATTAATTTTATACAACAATGATAAATATAAAATCTAGTATCAACTATAATAATATGTATTTTGAAACACCAATAACCCCGATAGTTGAGGAGTATTTGTTAAATAATAATAATAATAAAAAAACAACTAGTATCTAATTATAATAATGTTTGTCTAGTTTTAAATATTTTATAGCGCATTGTTGGTGTACAGGTGCAATGTAAATACCATAAACAAGATATATAGTTTAGTGTAAACTCTTGAATATTCTGTTTCGTTTTGAACTTCTAACATTTTAAATACGTACACCATATAACCTCGCTGAAGGTTATGTTAAAAACTAAAAATATAACGCTACACTGTTCTATAGGACTTCCTCTTTARTATGTTTACACGAAAATATGACTTCTTGAAAACGGAAGCCACATGAATACACAATAGTTTATACAGAGTGCACTAAAATTATGTATACATAGTTTTTGAATTTTATAGTATATACATTTTATTCCGGAGTTTTATGAAAAAAATACTGATGAGTGAACATTGTCAATGCATCGAGTTATTAWATTATATTTTATATGATTYTATGTTAGAATAAAAAGTATTTGTTTAAGATTAAAGTTGGGTAATTTTGAGCTCCCTTTATATGTGCATACTGTTGGTTGTTAAGCCGTTAGGGTCATTTTAACATCATTATAACGTATATTATGCAGAAACAAAAAAAAAACCACAATCCTATATGCAGACATGTAATATATGACGACGGGGTATGAAGTAAAAGTCAAAGGAGCGAATCGCGCGTGATGGGTGACTAATTTTTTGTTTCTTTTATTATTATTTTTAATGGATGTATCGTCGTTAAGAATTAATTCACATCCAGCAATAGTTATAACAACAACAATAATAATGCTTTAATTAAATAATAGCACTAGCTTCGTGTAATTCATGTGTTGTGGAAAACGTTAGGCACTGGAGACAATGCTGCGAGGGCTCGTGACCTTCAGAGAATATAACGTTTAGAACCATTACAATTGTTTGTATCCATCTAAGTCTCAGTACAAAARAAATCTTCAAAATGTTTATTATTTTTGAAAAGTTCATAAGTACACCGCATAAGAAAATAATAACGTTCCCGAAATGTTTTAATGGCCTATTCGAAWTGCGTACAACAGTATTCAAAATATGACGGGTTATAGAAATTATAAATACAGTAATAATATAATCGTCTTCAATAGGGTTTATATTTTTATGAGGCCATTACAACACCTTAGTATCAAAACGAATAAAAAGGTAATTAACCAAACCGGGTTTTATTTTTGGAATAATTATTTGTACCTATTCGATTATGAATACAATAGCCAAAAAACTATTTTTTAAATAATCATTTTTCATCTCGTCCAGTGGTCTGTCATATTATAATCATAATTTTTTTAAAGAATACTCGTGTAAAAAAAAAAACAAATTAAAATATAGTAGGTATAATAATTTAGTTTGGTCTGAATGAAATAATAAATGGTATACTGCATATTATAATGATACCTGTTGGGCAGGCTTTTTAAAATTTAATTCTGCCACAGATGTAATAATACAACTGTATTGTATTCATTTTTTTATTATTATTAATGATACAAGTATGATATTGTATTTAAGACTTCGTGGTCAAATTAAACAACATAATATCCTTAGGGCACATGCAGTGGAATTCCATCCATCTCTTATCGAATACATAAATATGTTATCTTATTATTAAAACAATTAAATAGCAAGTAATTATTCCTTTGTGAATATTTTATTTTGTTCAGGTTTTTTTTATAACTTTAAGGGACWAGCGAAATATTGGAAATTGAAACTTTTTACAATATTGTAATTCGTTCATTTTCGGCTTATGAAATAACACCTAAATTTATTGTTTCTGGTTTTCGTAAATATATCAAATATAATGCGAGTTTTAGTAACTGATTAGTTATTATTAATGTGTCACAGTTACGTTATTATTACTAAAAGTGATGTATCCAATAAGTATATACCTAATGTAAATATACATACAAACATTTGATTGCATGAATATGAAATTAAAATAATAAATAATTTCTCCTTAACATTAGTAATGATAACTTATTAGTAATATTAACTAATATAAATAAAATGTTATTTTAATTTCTCATAAAATACGTAGGTAACATCTATTGCAATATTTAGATAACAATTTCGAATCAATACAATTATTAATAATGACAACTTTAGAAATTCTATATGATAAATATTTTTAGTTTTAAAATGATTCAAAGTTATGACTCTTGAAATTAATAAAAATTATTGAAATGTATTGGTGGATATACATACAATAGTTTTGTTATAAATAATTAATAATTATTCTAYATATTTTTACAAATTGGTTTTAAATATTTCTGGAAATAAAAGTATTTCCTAAAATAAAGAATCATTTAAAATATARATCAAATACATTACGCATATAATATTGTATTTTTTATATAATTTTAACAAGTAGTTTTTTTTTTAAATTTATTAAACTATCAAGCCAATTAATTGTTAGCTTTGTTTAAAATTTTTTCTATATTATTATAAATGTATAAAATATTATCAACATWGAAAAAAAAATAGTAAGACGTATAAGTTAAAAAATAAGTTTATTAAATTAGCAGTGGAAATAGGTATGGCTATAAAATTGAACAATCTATTCATATATTAACCATTAATATATATTTTTTATAATTCTAGCATATAACTTATTAAATATTATTGGTGATTTGGACGTGAAGAATAATAGGGTTTGCAAATGCAAGTAATAAACTGTTTTATGACAAGGACCGACAAACAGTCTGGTGAAGTTTTTATTTTGCAGATGTAAAAAAAATAATAATTTTTCCCTAACAACAAGCTATGTATAATACTTTTTGTTCGTTAGTCTGAAGAAGACAAAACGCGATTTGCCCTTCGTAAGGATTAATATAGTCGGACATTGGCCAAGGACGTACTGGGACTAAAAGCAATTACGGACAAAATAAAATACAAATAAAAAACACGATGAACTATTAGTTAAAAACAAAACCACATCAGGYGTCAAAAATATGWTTTTTTGCGTTATAATAATTTCACTGTAGAGACCTTATCTTATACCTCTTTATTTWATATCATAATTATTATTTATTAGATAATTTCATGGTTAAATATTATAATTTATAGAAATTAAAAATTGAAATGATTTGGATGTAAACATTCAGGTTAGAGAAATGAAAAATAAGCATGTATTAATTTTTAAAAATATTATCAATCAAAA